CCCCACCTCTACCACCCCCTCCACCTGTACCACCTTCCCCACCTGGACTACCCCCCCAACTTGTACCACCTTCCCCACCTGCTCCCCCTGTACTACCTCCTCGACCTGTACCGCCCCATCTACCTGTAGCAGCCCCTGCTTCACCTGTACTGTCATCTACATCTGTAATAATCCCTCCACCTGTACTACCTTTTCTATCTGTATAACCTCTTTTACCTGTACCGCCCCCTCCACCAGTGCTACCATCTCCACCTGTACCAGCCTGTCCACCTAAACTATCTTTCCCACCTGTACCAAGTCCTCCATCTGTACTACCTCCTCCCCCTGTACCACCCCCTCCACCTCTACGACCTACTTGACCTGTACTACACCCTCCACCTTTATTGTCCACTACACCCTCTCCACTTGTACTACCCCCTCCACTACTTTCTCCACTTCTACCACCTTGTTCACCTATACTACCTCCTCCACCTGCCTGTAGCACCCTCTACACCTCCTCCACCTGGATGTAGCACCCTCTACACCTCCTCCACCTGCCTGTAGCACCCTCTACACCTCCTCCACCTGGATGTAGCACCCTCTACACCTCCTCCACCTGCATGTAGCACCCTCTACACCTCCTCCACCTGGATGTAGCACCCTCTACACCTCCTCCACCTGCCTGTAGCACCCTCTACACCTCCTCCACCTGCCTGTACCACCCTCTACACCTCCTCCACCTGGATGTAGCACCCTCTACACCTCCTCCACCTGGATGTAGCACCCTCTACACCTCCTCCACCTGGATGTAGCACCCTCTACACCTCCTCCACCTGCCTGTAGCACCCTCTACACCTCCTCCACCTGCCTGTACCACCCTCTACACCTCCTCCACCTGGATGTAGCACCCTCTACACCTCCTCCACCTGGATGTAGCACCCTCTACACCTCCTCCACCTGGATGTAGCACCCTCTACACCTCCTCCACCTGCCTGTAGCACCCTCTACACCTCCTCCACCTGGATGTAGCACCCTCTACACCTCCTCCACCTGCATGTAGCACCCTCTACACCTCCTCCACCTGCATGTAGCACCCTCTACACCTCCTCCACCTGCATGTAGCACCCTCTACAATTACTTGAACCATACTACCCACTCCACCTGTACTTCCTTCCCCACCTCCAACACTCCCTTCACCAGCCCTACCCTCTCCACATGCCTGTACCACCTTCAATACCCCCTTCACCTGCACCATTCCTTCCCACTATACCAGTGTGGAAAAAAAGGAGTTCATGGAGTCTGGCCCTTTTTTTGCTTTATTTTTAACTCAGACAAAAGGGCTTAAAAACAAACAAAACAACAAAAGGTGGGCAGACTCGATGAACCATTTGGTCTTTCTCTTCTCTCACTCTCCTGTTTCTAGAAACACTCAGTCTGTCCATGTCGGCCATTTCTGTAAATATCTGTTTCAGGATCTGTGCGTGAACTTTCAGCGGAGGTCTCGTCGTTCTCCAGACGCTGGATACTGGGAGGATGTATTCAGAATAGATTATAAAATCAAATTTCCTCTTCAGTTAATGATTATAATGACATCTGTACATTCTATACATTGTTTTCTACATAGGGAGAAGACAGACAGATACAATGAGAGGTTCTTACCCTTCCCTGAATTTTTCCCCCTAAAGGCATCTCTGAAACAACAGAAGATCTGAGAGGACATACTTGTTATCGTTTCTGAGGCTTCAGACGTTTCCTCCTCTGTAGTATCCGTATCTTCATCTAGTTCATCTGTATCCTCAGACTCATCACTGTCTTCAAACCATTTCCCCGGCATAAGACCCGCCGAGTCATACGAGTTACATAAAGGCCCCACAATGTGAGTTATGAACGATTCCTGAAGTTTGGCTAACTGAGGGGCCGAGCGGTCCATGAACGGGCTGATGGGGAGGCCGAGGCTCGCCTCTTCATCCCCCTATGAAGAAGAAAAAAGAGATTTCCTAAAACAAACCACCACGCTTTCCATTACTCCTGTGCCCAGACTTTGGACATTCAATGATTTACATATTCTTAACGAGCAGTAAAAGAGTTTAGAAAAAAATCCTCACTGACCTCCCTAGGTGCTTTAAGGCTTCATTCACATGAGAAAAAGCCGGCACGTACAGCTCCGTGCTGCGTGCACGGGCATATCGGGCAGCTCCCGGGAAGGACAGGTGCTGTGTGTGATTAGTACACAGCCCCTGTCCTTCTCTATGGGAGTACGCGGCCATACGCCTCAATACGCTCACCCTAAGTGCAGGTCCGTATGGGTGCGGGTGTCCCGGCTCAGACGCAGACAGGATCCACCCTGTCAGCATACGAGTACGGACACCTTGTGGCGTCACAAGGGGGGTGCAGCCCGCACCCGGGTGCCAACATTGGAGGGGTGAACAGTCATTTTGGTGTCACCCCCTCTGAAAATTTGGGCACTCGGTCATTGACCGAGAGCCCGACAGCGTAAGAGAAGGACAGGGGCTGCGTACTAATCACACGCAGCACCTGTCCTTCCCGGTGCTGCCCGATACGGCCGTGCACGCAGCACGGAGCTGTACGTGCCGGCTTTTTCTCGTGTGAATGAGACCTTAATGTGGACTTTTTCATTCTCACATCACATCTCAAAGATGTTTACAGTAGATCAGGGGTAAGCAACCTTGGCACTCCAGCTGTTGTAGAACTCCAAATCCCATGAGGCATTGCAAGATTGACAGCAAGGCATGTCTTCCAGATGCAGCTGTCTGATGGGATTTGCATTTTCTCCACATCTGGAGTGCCGAGGTTGCCTGCCCCTGCTATAGAGGGCTGGAAGCCTGTCAGGACCTACTCTTATAGAAAAACACAGTGGGGGGAATTTATCAGAACTGGAACAGACAAAATCTGGAGCAGATTTCCATGGCAACCAATCAGCTTCTATGTCTCATTTTCAAATCCCAACTGAGCGAACTGAAGAGAGATGCTGATTGGTTGCCATGGGCAATTGCTCCAGTTTTGATAAATCCCAGTTTTGTATGATCTGGGAACAGGTTCATTTTAAAAGTAGGGGGCGAGACAACATAATGGCACAGTAGCACTGTCCTATGATAACCGAGGGCTATATAAAATATAAAAGAGGCAGCCACTATGGTCCAACAGTGTTATCCTCCTGCATGTTACCAGACAATACAGTGTCATGTTTCCAGTACCAGAGGATTATGGGAAATATAGCAACAATGGCTCAACAGTGTTATCCTCCTGGTTACCTATATTGAAATGTGTGTAAAGATGATATTTATGGGACACTGACGTCAAAGCTGGACTCCAGACGTACAGACAAATATATAGATAAAATAAAAATCAGCAGGCTGATGAGCTCATCTCTTTGTCACTTTGTTCTCTCCTTCTATCTGCATGTTCCTTGTTAACATATGAGCACTGCAGCACAGCTGAATGGTTACTTGTTCTGCTTCCCCTCTACGGAGTTCTGCTGTACAGGAAGTGGAAGATGCTGATGGCAAGTCACATTCAGGTGCTTACACTGATTGTGTTTACATAATTAATGATTACAGAGCTGCATTAATACGAGTCTTTTATATTTTTATTGATGCCGCTCTATACAGCCACCTGCACTGCTCAGACTGGCAGGGACCCTCGCTCAGCGCTGCACTGCTCACAGACTGGCAGGGACCCTCACTCAGTCCTGCACTGCTCAGACTGGCAGGGACCCTCACTCAGTCCTGCACTGCTCAGACTGGCAGGGACCCTCACTCAGTCCTGCACTGCTCAGACTGGCAGGGACCCTCACTCAGTCCTGCACTGCTCAGACTGGCAGGGACCCTCACTCAGTCCTGCACTGCTCAGACTGGCAGGGACCCTCACTCAGTCCTGCACTGCTCAGACTGGCAGGGACCCTCACTCAGTCCTGCACTGCTCAGACTGGCAGGGACCCTCACTCAGTCCTGCACTGCTCAGACTGGCAGGGACCCTCACTCAGTCCTGCACTGCTCAGACTGGCAGGGACCCTCACTCAGTCCTGCACTGCTCAGACTGGCAGGGACCCTCACTCAGTCCTGCACTGCTCAGACTGGCAGGGACCCTCACTCAGTCCTGCACTGCTCAGACTGGCAGGGACCCTCACTCAGTCCTGCACTGCTCAGACTGGCAGGGACCCTCACTCAGTCCTGCACTGCTCAGACTGGCAGGGACCCTCACTCAGTCCTGCACTGCTCAGACTGGCAGGGACCCTCACTCAGTCCTGCACTGCTCAGACTGGCAGGGACCCTCACTCAGTCCTGCACTGCTCAGACTGGCAGGGACCCTCACTCAGTCCTGCACTGCTCAGACTGGCAGGGACCCTCACTCAGTCCTGCACTGCTCAGACTGGCAGGGACCCTCACTCAGTCCTGCACTGCTCAGACTGGCAGGGACCCTCACTCAGTCCTGCACTGCTCAGACTGGCAGGGACCCTCACTCAGTCCTGCACTGCTCAGACTGGCAGGGACCCTCACTCAGTCCTGCACTGCTCAGACTGGCAGGGACCCTCACTCAGTCCTGCACTGCTCAGACTGGCAGGGACCCTCACTCAGTCCTGCACTGCTCAGACTGGCAGGGACCCTCACTCAGTCCTGCACTGCTCAGACTGGCAGGGACCCTCACTCAGTCCTGCACTGCTCAGACTGGCAGGGACCCTCACTCAGTCCTGCACTGCTCAGACTGGCAGGGACCCTCACTCAGTCCTGCACTGCTCAGACTGGCAGGGACCCTCACTCAGTCCTGCACTGCTCAGACTGGCAGGGACCCTCGCGCTCGCTCAGCGCTGCACTGAAGAAGATCACAATACCGGCATTCTGCGTGATTTTGGCGCTCTCACCTGCTCGTAGAACTCGTTGACGATCCCCTCCGTCCACTTCAGATGTAAATCTTTACATTTGGCGGGTCCGTTGATGTCAGCCAGCTTAATGCACATCTGACAGACCAGCAATCGGTCATTCTCATTGGACCAGTCAATCCCTGGCCCCACCTCCTCGTTCACCTGGAGGAGAGAATTAAGTAAGATTCGGATCACGGATGGATCATGATATGGCCGCCACATGGTACAATCATCACTCAGCACTACATGATCATCTCCCTCGCACTGTCCCAGACACCGAGCCGTCTATATCCTGGTAACGGTTAAAGAAATAAGGGCAATTCTTTAAACCAGTGGAAGAAAAAACAACAAACAAAAAAAAAACAATTGATTTCTGTTAAGAAAAAGAAAAGACCAAATTGTTACATATGTGAGCAGGGTTTGGAGATGGTGGGGCAGTGTGTAGCAATGTTTTGAGAAGGTGAGGCACTTTGTAGCAGTGATGAAGTTGGGGCATTACATAGAACTGGTTAAGTGAGACACTTTGTAGCAGTGGTGAAGTTGGGGCACTATGCTGATGAGGTAAAGTAAGGGAACTATGTAGAAGTGGTGATGTTGGAGCACTGTATAGAAGTAGGGAATTAGGGCACTGTGTAGAAGAGGAGGTAGGGGCACTGTGTAGCAGTGGTAAAATTGTGTTTGTTAAGGAATGCAATATATGTCCTCTGCAAATATGAAAGTACATGGAGTATGCGGAAAGCCAAGTCGCTCTCACCTTTGCATTGAACCTCGGAGAAGGTGGGGCACTATGTAGAAGTAGTGAAGGTGGGGGTGTAGAAATGGTGAAGTGGGGACCCTGTGTAGCAGTGGTGAAGGTGGAGCACTGTGCAGAAGTGGTAAAGGTGAGGTACTGTATAGCAGTACTGAAGTTGGGGCATTGTATAGAAGTGGTAAAGTAGGGAACTATGTAGAAGGGGTGAATTTGGAGGACTCTGTAGGAATAGGGAATTCTGGCACTGTGTAGAAGTGGTGAAGGTGAGCACTGCAGAAACAGTGAAGTGTGGACCATGTGTAGCAGTGGTTAAGGTGGAGCACTGTGCAGAAGTGGTGGAGGTAGGGACACTGTGTAGAAGTGGACGAGGTAGGGGCACTGTGTAGAGGTGATGAAGCCGGGGCACTGTGTAGAAGTGGTGGAGGTAGGGGCACTGTGCAGAAGTGGGGAGGTAGGGGCACTGTGCAGAAGTGATGAAGCCAGGGCACTGTGTAGAAGTGGTGGAGGTAGGGGCACTGTGCAGAAGTGGGGAGGGAGGGGCACTGTGCAGAAGTGGTGGAGGTAGGGGCACTGTGTAGAAGTGGTAGAGGTAGGGCCACTGTGCAGAAGTGGTAGAGGTAGGGGCACTGTGCAGAAGTGGTGGAGGTAGGGGCACTGTGCAGAAGTGGTGGAGGTAGGGGCACTGTGCAGAAGTGGTGGAGGTAGGGGCACTGTGCAGAAGTGGTAGAGGTAGGGGCACTGTGCAGAAGTGGTGGAGGTAGGGGCACTGTGCAGAAGTGGTGGAGGTAGGGGCACTGTGCAGAAGTGGTGGAGGTAGGGGCACTGTGCAGAAGTGGTAGAGGTAGGGGCACTGTGCAGAAGTGGTAGAGGTAGGGGCACTGTGCAGAAGTGGTGGAGGTAGGGGCACTGTGCAGAAGTGGTGGAGGTAGGGGCACTGTGTAGAAGTGATGAAGGCGGGGCAGTGTGTAGAAGTGGTGGAGGTAGGGGCACTGTGTAGAAGTGATGAAGGCGGGGCAGTGTGTAGAAGTGGTGGAGGTAGGGGCACTGTGTAGAAGTGATGAAGGCGGGGCAGTGTGTAGAAGTGGTGGAGGTAGGGGCACTGTGTAGAAGTGATGAAGGCGGGGCAGTGTGTAGAAGTGGTGGAGGTAGGGGCACCGTGTAGCAGTGGTAAAAGTGTGTTGAGGAATGGCGGACTTCTATCACATACATGGAGCATGTGGGCAGCCAAGTCGCTCTCACCTTTGCATTGAACTCTGCCAGGAAATCGAAGTGTTTCTTCAGGTCGGTGGCGAGAATTGCCTCGATCACCAGGAACCGGAACCGCTTGAACTCCATGTGATCTAAATTGATTAAAAAATTATATTCCGGCCGTGACAGGAAGAGATTCCATGCCGCAGCCGCATGGTGATTCTCCAGAACCGACCGGTCATTATAGAGCACTGCCTGGAAAAGAGAGGAGCTGCCATTACTTAAGCTCTTCCCACAACCACTCAACTCCAACAGAGCCCCTCCCTATCATATTACTACTGATTGAATCCCCTCCCACTTCCTCTTCTACTGGCTGAATCCCCAATCATCTTCTACATCTCATAGTAGCCCCTCCCCATTCATCTTTTACGCAATAAAATCACTCCCTAATCTTCTACATCACATATTAGCCCCTCCCAATTCACTGAAGCCGCTCCCCATTCTTTTACACCTCATAGTAGCCCCTCCCCATGCATCTACTCACTGAAGCCCCTCCCAAATCTTCTACATCTCCTATTAACCCCTCCCTATGCATCTTCTATCTACTGAAGCCCCTCCCTAATCTTCAAAACCTCATAGTAGCCCCTCCCCATTCATCTCCTGCTCACTAAAGTCCCTCCCCAATCTCATAATAGCCCCTTTCCATTCATCTTCTATTCACTGAAACCCCTCCTCATTCTTCTACATCTCATAGTAGCCTCTCCCTATGCATCTTCTACTCACTGAAGCCCCTCCCCAATCTTCTACATCACATAGTAGCCCCTCCCTATGCATCTTCTACTCACTGAAGCCCCTCCCTAATCTTCAAAACCCCATAGTAGCCCCTCCCCATTCATCTTCTACTTACTGAAGCCCCTCCCCATACTCCTACACCCCATAGTAGCCCCTCCCAATGCATCAACTACTCACTAAAGTCCCTCCCCCAATCTTCTACATCTCAAAGTAGCCCCTCCCCATTCATCTTCTACTCACGGAAGCCCCTCCTCATTTTTCTACACCTCATAGTAGCCCCTCCCCATTCATCTTCTACTCACTGAAGCCCTTCCCTATTCTTCTATACCTCATAGTAGCCCCTCCCCATTCCTCTACAACTTAATATGCCACTTCACTATGTTTTTTAATACTTTTGCTTTCAACCTGTTAACCTATAACACTTCTTACACCCCGCACTCTCACATCCACAAAGAATCCTTAGTTGCTCCTTTATTACGACTCTGCTGTCATTTTAACTCCTCCCACACCTAAATATCAGCGAATAGGTCCCACCCATGAGGATCTGCTATGTGTTGAAGGCAGATGCATTACCTGCGGTGCACTGGTTGCCACAAGGAAGGCATTGGTTCTTCCTGGGTGGTCGTAGTCGTGCATGGCTGCCGCTACATACAGAGCCATGAGCTCCAAGGACGGAATGTTCCCTGACAAACAGCCGTATGTTTCTTCTGAAGGATTGTACATCTTGGAGAAAGTGTAACCCATGTGTCCATGCGTGATGCCGCTGTCTGAATCTGAGGAGACACAACACATAACACGGGGGGCTTACACTTCTGTCCTCATGGGGAGGGGGGGTTATGCTACAAAATAACAAATTAATCACCCTTGTAATCCTATTACCCCTCTGGGGCGACATATTGCAGATATTATATACAGCAGGACCACCATCTCTGGCCTTGTAGCTCCACCCTATACGTAACCAACACATTCAGTGGGGCTGATTTACTGAAGCAATGAACAGAAGCAGAGATACATTGTTACAGGACTCAGGTGTGGTTTATTGCATCCCAAGGACCCCCCATTATCTAAACAATTACTGTCGCTATTTCCTTTCTGTATATAAATTATTTCCCACCACAAGCGGCTACGGCCTAACACTAATAATGTTTTAGTGATGCGTTTTCTGATATTTGTCCACTGGGGGGCACCATCGCGTGTCGAATAAAACTGATTTTTATATAGAATTACAATATTTAAGGGGTTATTCACAAAGTTGCCGAAGCTGTACGTCGGCTTGCTTCAGAAGTGCACAAGGAGTTCGACTCAGCCGATCCAACATCTAAATCGGCTGAGCCGAAGCTCCGGCAGCTCGCTCGCTGCCGTTTGCCTCTATTCTCATAGTGAATAGCTGAATGCTGCCGAGCGGTGCCACCTCCGTGGTACCGAGCAGAATAGAAAATTAATGAAAAGAGTTAAAAAAGAAAAGTCGAAAAAATATTTAAAAAATGTAAATAAAATAGTAAAATTAAAAAATAAAGATAAAAAAAATAAACAATTGGGCGGAGCTTGCAGTGACAGCTAGCTCTGCCCAACGGCTTCCTATTGGCCAGCCAATGAATAACAACTGGGCGGAGCAGGCCGTGATATCACAGACGGCTCCGCCCAGATGTTATTGTTTAATGACAAATCAGCGCCCCCAGGTCATTTGGGGATTTTGATCTGTCACTACAACTGGGCGGAGCCAAACGTGAGATCTTGGCTGGCTCCGCCCAGCTGTCATTTGCGGGGCTTAGGGACGGCCTTCGGCAGGCCATTCTCCCCGGGTGCCACTTCGGCTCAGTCGAGCTGAAGCATATGCCTTTGGCTGCTGTACGGGCTATTGTGAATAGCCCGTACAGCAGCCCTTCGGTTCGACTAAACCGAAGGGCTCCGGCGGCTGAAGAGAGCCGAAGGATCAGCTGAAGCTACGACTGGATCCTTCGGCTCCTTCATGAATAACCCCCTTAATGTATTTATATGTTCTCAGTTTATACCGCGCTGCACAGGATGATGGCGCTATACTGTTTTAATAGCAGCTTCTGGGTGTCCTTACTGTTGTCACTATTAAAGTCGACTTGTTTTCAGATGTAGGTATCACGTCCAGTGCAGCATGCTGAGTAATGTGTCAGTGTAACACTTCCAGGTATTTATTACCTCTCACAGAGATCACAGTACTCCCCCCTGACAATGCTGCCATCTGCTTTTCCCACAGGAAGGAAATAAACAATCTGTGTTCAGGCATCATCCAGGGTCAGCATCTACCTACTGGACTGAGAGATGACACTGGCTGAGAGATGACATGATCGTGCCTGTGTAGTCCTTGGCTGTGTTTGTAAATGCCTGACACAAATCAGCCCCTGCTTCTCACCTCTTGACTTGTAACAAAGTTACAATGTACAATCTGATCACTGGGGTAGGGAAGACTGTAGAAACGCTTCCTCCTGCCTGCAGCAGACTGATGACATCATCTCAGCCCATGCAAAGTCAATGACTGGAGGCGGAGCTCAACAATGCTTTTTAATAATAAAGGTTGGAGCTTTTCTGAGGAAATGATACTGTTGCTGTCTATTGGGACCGGTCAGGAATTTACTCAGACTTGAAAAGTTGCTGACAGGTCCATAATATTAATGCGAGATGAACTCCACTCCTTTGTTACCTGAATCGCTGGCTGAGCCATGATCGTTGACGGCGTTGTGCAGACCCGGGATGGCCTGGGTACTGAGGTACCAGACTGCATGTAACACGTCAGTGGCGTGGATCCTGTTGTGATCTAAAAGGAACATAAAATATTCAGTTACTGTATTGTTATTGGACGGAGTCCTTCTGCCACCTAGTGGCTGTCCTGAACACTGCACCTTACAAGCCGCAATCCCACGCTATGTGTGAGACATCTACAGTCCTATATGACTCTTGGCCAGGGGTGCGCAAACTCCGGCCCTCCAGCTGTGGTGAAACTACATATACCATCATGCATCTGTCTGTGGGGGTCATGCCTGTGGCTGTCAGAGACTTGCAATGTCTCATGGAATTTGTTGTTGCATCACAGCTGGGGGGCCGGAGTGTGCCCACCCCTGCTCTTGGCGGTTCTATGGGAAACCTCTTTTGGGCGCCATGTCTGATATGCTTGAGATCTTTGTGTGCAAAATGTGACAGCACATGTGCATAGCCAATTTGTACATATATACTGAGACCTGTTTAAACAGGAGCCAATTAAACTAACAACAAGTCTTTGGACTATTGGGAGGACACTTGAGTCCCCAAAAGAAGTTCGTAAAAGCACAGGATCATGCAAACTCCATGCAGTTATAAAGCAATGTATATTTCTTCACCCTGTTTTCCAATATACAAAGATACTTCAATCTCATCATTTGGTGTTTTAATCCTTTTACCTCTTGGCCAATCCCAGTCCTGAGTAACACTTGTAGAGTCAGACCCCATACTGGACCACAGACCCCAAATACGGATATAGAGGACATAGCGGAGACACATAAACTCCCATAAGTGTCGTTATACTCATACTGGAGCTCGGAGGCCAGAATCAAATTGGAGCCGATTGCTACATAGAATTTATATTTATAATTAAAACCTTAAAAAAGCAAATCAAATAATGAAAAAATCCCTTTGTAGCTGCCCTCAAAGTGACCAAAATATGTATTTAACACTATGGTGACCAGTGTAATGAGCAGAAGTTCCCGCAGAGCTGGTTAGGCATGCTGCACGGGTAACCCGAAATACTGGCCGAGAATCGGAGAGGTTTTATATCAGATAATTGATAGAAAATGTTCCAAATAAACTCAGATTTTATTTCAGTTTTTCAGGAGAGGATAGAGACCACCCAGGACCTGGGGGTGCGACAAAGCTGTTGAACCATCATGGCTGCCACCTCTGTATTTCCCATAATCCCCTGTTATGGAAAAAATGGTGTTGTGCCATGCTGTAACATGACTGTCCTGGGGGGAGGGAGGGGGAGATAAAGCTGTTGAACCATCATGACTGCCATATCTGTGGTTCCCACAATCCCTTGTTAGTGGAAACATGGTGTTGCAGCACGTGGTCACATGACTGTCTTGCAGGGGGGATAAATCCAATGAACAAACATGGCTGCCACCTCTGTATTTTCCATAATCCTCTGTTACGGGAAACATGCACCATGCGTTCACATGACTGGAATAAGGCTGTTGGACCCTCATGGCTGCCACCTCTGTATTTCCCATAATCCTCTGTTACGGGAAACATGCACCATGTGTTCACATGACTGGAATAAGACTGTTGGACCCTCATGGCTGCCACCTCTGTATTTCCCATAATCCCGTTACTTGGTACATGTTAGTGCACCTTGTGGTCACATGACTGTCCTGCAAGGGTACAAAGTCGTTACGCCATCATGGCTGCTGCCTCTGTACCCATAACCCCCTGTAGGATAAGTAAAGTCCATTATAATTGCGGTGTTTCTTGGCGGTGGCCATTCCCCGCTCGGACAATGTTCTACAGATAGCATCCGGCCGTGACCTTACATGGCGCTCATTAGAGGTGGAGATGCGTCCCGGGGACATTTGTTTATCATTGATTTGTGCTGCGCTGATGTGCCAGCCGAGCGGAAAAATAAAGAGTCTATAAATAGCGGGAAGGCTGCCTCGCCCGGAGAGCGGTCACAGCTCTGGGACACGTTCAATGGAAAACGTCCGTCCTATTTCCCCCCAAATTACACTGCGAATGACTTAGCAGACCAGGAGCTTCTACCACCCACGTGTCACTTCACCATGCTGAATTAAAGGACCACTCCACCCAGAATGAAAGCGGGGTTGTAATAACATCCATGTCGGTACAGAAACCAAATTCTCACATTTAGGTATCTGAAGGGCCCCAAGCCCCCACGATACACTTCCAACCACAACCTGTCTTTCATATCATGTTAAACTTTATATTCTCCACGCTGAGACCTCCATACAGGATGAACGCCAGGGACATTTAATGTTGGGGGGGGGGAGCTAAGCTTAGGCATCAGTTCTAAGAGTAATATCCAACACTAAAGCCCAACTCTGGGCAAAACTTTGTCCTTTGTTTTGGATGTGGGGAAAGGGTTTTATTTCTGTCTCTCGTCCTATTGGGGGAGAATCCTTTAAAGGACAGAAACTGATGGCAAATCTCTCCAACATGGTCAAAAACAAAGCACATTATTAGTAGAGCAGAGAAGGGTTAAATCTTTTGACAATGTCGCTATCATTGTCTGGGTCTTTCTGTCCCGGTGACAACCGCTCCCCCCATATCTTGTACAGGTGACAAGGACAGGAAGTGAAGGGAGATCTCCCCCCAATAAGGTTACACATAGAAATGTAAAAAAAACATCCCCTAATCCATCCAAAATTAAAGCCCAACTTGCCTGCAGTGAATGTCACTATCTACGCTTTATAAATATGCCCCTAGGTGTCATGGGTTCATGTTAGGGGTGAGAGGGGCTTCTGGGTCATTAAAAGGGGTAGGAGAGGTTTAGGGGTCAGTACGGGGTCAGCTGGTTTCAGTGCAGGAAGCCGTATGCACAGATCCCAGCACTCTCCGTGCCGTGTCTTCTTAATAATGTCCGCATGCCCGGAACATCACTAATTAGAGGGAAGTTATTAATGTTAATGATGAGGATCCAGATGTCCTTGCCATACTAGCAAATGTACATTTCTTAAAGGGGACCTGCTCACAGAAGTTATATGGGCTGCCATTTGCTTAAACTCTACTTGTGAAACTGCTAAGTGCAAACGTGGGCCCGGCAGAAACTTCACATTTATTCACTAAGGTTCTATTGTACAGGCCCTCAAAACAGTCATCAGGACAATTTGGGAGAATTCCGGACACCCGGAACGCTGTGATGAGATCAGGGATTAGTACATAGCAGACCCCACTTACACGGAATGTCTCGGTAGCCGTTCTCCAAGGCGTGAAAATAGTTCATGAATTCCTTCAGGGGGATTTTAAATGTCTGCAGAAGATTCATGTCATCGAAGAGTCGATACGACGTCTACAAAGGGGAAACACGAGGAGCATTTGTGAATATACTTTGTAACATTGTGACAACTGTCCACAACAAAGGAAATATTAGATTCCGCTGCCGCTGTCACAGATTTGGGGGCTTCACCAGATTCTGCCTCTCTGTGTAGTTAGCGCCCCCTGGAGGGCACATATGGGACCTTTAGCACTCGGACTGCTGGTAAGATCTTTGCTCTGCGCTTCTACCAGTGTCCCCTGTGCCGTGCAAATGTGTCACCATAAGAACTTGACACCAAGCCGGCAATTATTTCTATGCACAGCCCCACCTCTGCGCTTCCTAAGCTCCACCCCCTTTATTGTGGCTCAGATATAGGCCTCAGGCAGCCAGATATCTCACCAATGTCTGGAGTGTATGACATCTCCAAAGTCCAGTCCACTGATGTCACCCCAAGGCTGACAAAGCTTTATTCTATGAAATCAAAGTGAAACTGGCAGAGTTCACTTACAAACAGTACTGACATGTATGGTTCGCTAGATCACCTTATATACACTGGGATGGGGGGAGCCCCCAGATTCTGGGGCACACTTTAATGCCCTGACTGTCAATCCATATGGTGTCCTCCACCAAGAGAGCGCAATCACCTCCAGGGAACCCTATCCAATCCCAGCCTGCACTCAATGCTCATGTGAACACAGCTGATCCCCCTAGATTTGGGAATCCACCGTAGGTTTCGGACCAATGTACTCTAATTCCATGAAGGAAATCATTCTGCCACCCACCTGGCTGAGGATTCGGCCGCAGCTCTGACCCGTCATCTCCACCAGGTCAAATATGGGGAAGTTCCAGTTGTTGACTTCCCCCATAAGGTCATCTACATTGTCCATGATGAGTGGCTCTGGGGCCAGGATGGGCTTGTCCTGAGTGCAAGAGAAACACAGAAATGGAGATCAGTTATGTGTCCAACGCACAAAAAGTCCCATGGCTACATGAAATATTGGTACCCAGACTACTGGGGGGGTCCTGATTTCTGATCTAGGAGGGGATCCTGTGCACTAATAGTGGGGGGTCCTCTGCACTCATAGGAGGGGATCATGTGAACTGATAGGAGGGGATCCTGTGCACTGATAGGAACAGATCCTGTGCACTAATAGTGGGGGGTCCTCTGCACTGATAGGAGGGGATCATGTGAACTTAAAACAGGGGATCCTATTCACTGATAGAGAATCCTCTGCACAGATAGGAGGGGGATCATGTAAACGAATAGTAGGGGATCCTGTGCATTGATAAGAAGGGATCTTATGCACTAATAGGAATTGATGCTGCACAATGATAGATGGGGATCCATGGCACTGATAGAGGGGGATCCTGGGCACTGATAGTGGGGGATCATATGAACTTAAAGCAGGGGATCCTGTTAACTGAAAGAGAATCCTCTGCACAGATAGGAGGGGATCATGTAAATGAATAGTAGGGGACCTTGTGCACTGATAAGAAGGGACCTTGTGCACTGATAGGAAAGGATCCTGCACATTGATAGAAGGGGATTCATGACACTGATAGAAGGGGATCCTGGGCACTGATAGGAGGGAATTCAGCGCACTAATGGGAGGGGATCAAGTGCAATGATAGGAGGGAATTGTCTGCACTTATAGGAGGGGATCCTGTGCACTGATAGAAGAGGCTCCTGGGCGCCTTTTAGGAGGGGATACTGGGCACTGATAGGAGGGGATCCTCTGCAACAACATATGGCAAATAATCCCCACCCAGGTCTCTGGACACTGTTTCTGACTCGAACAATCTGTCTCATATTCAATAATGATAATCTTGATTTTTGTATTAAAACTCGCAACTTAAGAACTCCGATAAGCAAAATTTGCATATTTACTATTTATATAAAACAACCAATATACTGTATAATTCCTGAAGGTTGTAACTCTTATCACAGGAACATCTGAGGCCTCTGTCAGTATTGAACACCGCAGAGGAATCTGAAAGTCAGTCTGGCACACCAAGTATGTCCATATTCCCCGTCGCACTCCTAGCCCGGAATCAAAACCCAATGGTTATAGGTGGGTGTAGTAGTGGAAGCGGATGGCCCTGCCAGTCATTCCATAAGCAAAAGTAGAAACCACTGGCATTTCAAAATACCTTGTGTCAAATCTTCTTTATTAATATGATCAAGGGGGTCTCACTGTGTATGGCAACATTTTGGAACCCTATCCGGGTCACTTTGCTTGCCTGAGGAAGGAACCGGTTGGGTTCTAAAACGTTGCCATATACTGTGAGACCACCTTGATCATGTCCACAAAAAAGATTTGATGCTAGGAATTTTGGAGCGCCAGTGGTTTCTACTGTTACTTATAGTCTGGCGCACCAGGGACTTCACACTGGATTCTGGGAGTCAGTCTGGCACACCGGGGACACGACAGGGGATTCTGGGAGTCAGTCTGGCACACCGGGGACATGACAGGGGATTCTGGGAATCAGTCTGGCACACCAGGGACACGACAGGGGATTCTGGGAGTCAGTCTGGCACACCGGGGACATGACAGGGGATTCTGGGAATCAGTCTGGCACACCAGGGACACGACAGGGGATTCTGGGAGTCAGTCTGGCACACCGGGGACATGACAGGGGATTCTGGGAATCAGTCTGGCACACCAGGGACACGACAGGGGATTCTGGGAGTCAGTCTGGCACACCGGGGACATGACAGGGGATTCTGGGAATCAGTCTGGCACACCAGGGACACGACAGGGGATTCTGGGAGTCAGTCTGGCACACCGGGGACATGACAGGGGATTCTGGGAATCAGTCTGGCACACCAGGGACACGACAGGGGATTCTGGGAGTCAGTCTGGCACACCGGGGACATGACAGGGGATTCTGGGAATCAGTCTGGCACACCAGGGACACGACAGGGGATTCTGGGAGTCAGTCTGGCACACCGGGGACATGACAGGGGATTCTGGGAATCAGTCTGGCACACCAGGGACACGACAGGGGATTCTGGGAGTCAGTCTGGCACACCGGGGACATGACAGGGGATTCTGGGAATCAGTCTGGCACACCAGGGACACGACAGGGGATTCTGGGAGTCAGTCTGGCACACCGGGGACATGACAGGGGATTCTGGGAATCAGTCTGGCACACCAGGGACACGACAGGGGATTCTGGGAGTCAGTCTGGCACACCGGGGACATGACAGGGGATTCTGGGAATCAGTCTGGCACACCAGGGACACGACAGGGGATTCTGGGAGTCAGTCTGGCACACCGGGGACATGACAGGGGATTCTGGGAATCAGTCTGGCACACCAGGGACACGACAGGGGATTCTGGGAGTCAGTCTGGCACACCGGGGACATGACAGGGGATTCTGGGAATCAGTCTGGCACACCAGGGACACGACAGGGGATTCTGGGAGTCAGTCTGGCACACCGGGGACATGACAGGGGATTCTGGGAATCAGTCTGGCACACCAGGGACACGACAGGGGATTCTGGGAGTCAGTCTGGCACACCGGGGACATGACAGGGGATTCTGGGAATCAGTCTGGCACACCAGGGACACGACAGGGGATTCTGGGAGTCAGTCTGGCACACCGGGGACATGACAGGGGATTCTGGGAATCAGTCTGGCACACCAGGGACACGACAGGGGATTCTGGGAGTCAGTCTGGCACACCGGGGACATGACAGGGGATTCTGGGAATCAGTCTGGCACACCAGGGACACGACAGGGGATTCTGGGAGTCAGTCTGGCACACCGGGGACATGACAGGGGATTCTGGGAATCAGTCTGGCACACCAGGGACACGACAGGGGATTCTGGGAGTCAGTCTGGCACACCGGGGACATGACAGGGGATTCTGGGAATCAGTCTGGCACACCAGGGACACGACAGGGGATTCTGGGAGTCAGTCTGGCACACCGGGGACATGACAGGGGATTCTGGGAATCAGTCTGGCACACCAGGGACACGACAGGGGATTCTGGGAGTCAGTCTGGCACACCGGGGACATGACAGGGGATTCTGGGAATCAGTCTGGCACACCAGGGACACGACAGGGGATTCTGGGAGTCAGTCTGGCACACCGGGAACACCGCAGATAATTATGGGAATCACTTTATCACACCAGGAAAACCACTTTCTAGGATGCTGGGAGTGACTGACCTCGGTTGATGTTATTAGTGCGTGGAGGTCAATGTTGTCCGGTCGATACGTTCGGCAGACGGAGCCTTTCCTGGACTGCGTCCCTTCTCCCTCGTCATCGTTCTGTACAATGTCGCTACTGTCGCTGTTGTTGGTTTCATGTGTGCTGTCATAGTCTGACGTGGTGTGAGCCGGGTCATCTGCAACAAAAGCACCATCACTGAATGTGAAAAGATGGAGGATAGAAATTATGTAATACTTCTAACAGCAAAAAACCCTCCCGCCAGGTCAGGCCCTCCAGAACAGAGGAATTAAGTTTTGTTAGGACCATGCACGTGCCTTTGCACATGTGCATTAAAAGAGAACTATGGGGTAACCTTTTTATCCCATAGTTCTCTTTACGGTCACGGGAGGACATATACTAACCTCCTCCGGTGACCCAAAGCTCAGTATACTGCTGACAATACTGTCGAGATCCACCCAGCTGGCTGATTGACAGCTGGCTCTGCCTATCTAGAGACACGGCCAGCTGTGCCCGCCCCCTCCCCAGTCTGTTCCTCCAGTCAGCGCTGGAGGATCGGAGCAGGGGGGAATCCCTGCGGGGAGCCGTGAGTGACAGTCACCACTCTTTGCAGGGAGATGATCGAGAAGTGAGCGAGCGACGGTATGTGTTCACTCACTTCCCGATCTATAGAGCCGACCTGTGACAGTTTCAATGTCACAGGTCGGCTCTAACTATGAGGATGAGTGATTTCCACTCACCTAATAGTTCTCCTTTGATACAACAGGTTGAAGTGCATTAAGGCATAAAACAACAAACAGAACTCTTGTATGTATTGCAGCACATCACAATAAATGTTCACTGCTGTAAAACCGCATTGGGGTGCCATTTATGAATTCCATTGCAATGCATTCCACAGAGGATTGTGCATTATGGTACCATGCAGTATATACATCTCTAAAGCAGAAGGCTGCAAGGAGTCTGAGTTCTGTACACTTCATGACCCTGGACACTGCAGAGGATTATCTGACCGATTGTGTATTTGGTGTTACAGGGTTTGGCCAGTTAGAGCCCCATAACAGACATCACATGTATCATACCTGTTCGGCTCTGAGAGTGCGTTATGTCATTTGTGTCTGCTGTCCTCTCCGCTGGATTTACCTGGCTGTACGGCCGCCCACAACTGCAATGACATGCAAATGGAAATCTATTACTGATAACAACTTTCATTATTTTAGCACAGCACCCTGCAGACAGTTACTTTTATATAATATATTAAAATGTATTTATTCTGAAAGGTTTACTCCACCAAGAAAGGATGACAGTGGTTGAAGGATGCTGGAGAAATAAACCCCGGACAGTCTATTCTGTCTTTCAGTTGATTCTGTTGGTGAGATCAATCTGCTGCCTTTTACGGGTCTGTACACCTGCTGTGCCCATTATGAGGGGTTTTCATCATCCCTGTGCTGAGTTCCTTGGGTCAGCTCACCTGCTGTGCCCATTATGAGGGGTTCTCATCATCCCTAATCTAAGTTCCTGGGTCAGCGCGCCTGCTGTGCCCATTCAGAGGGGTTCTCATCATGCCTGTGATGAGTTCCTGGGTCAGCTCACCTGCTGTGCCCTTTAAGAGGGGCTCTTACCAACCCTAACCAACCAAACCTGGGTCTGCACACCCATTATGTCCATTTTGAGGGTCTACAACCCTCCCTGTGCTGAATTCCCGGGTCTGCACGCCGCTATGTCTATTATGACGGTCTACCACCATCGACAGTTCTCATTTCTGCACATCTCCTGTGCCCATTATGAGGGACTCCTGCTGAAACACCACAAACTGGGTGTGAACAGAGCCAAGAGTTACCTCTGAAAAATCTTAACAAGAGATATAAAAACCTAGCAGCCCGCCAGGCTCCACCTCTAATAGAAATAACATTAGGACTGACCATTTCATAGAAGTATTACAAATGTTCTATATAGCGCCCACATATTCTGTAGCACATTAAAACTGTAACAAGCACAATTATAGAACATGACATATCTGGATTCACAGTGAATATGCTGTCTGTATAATATGGTGAGGACTAAGTGAAACGGGAAACAGTTATCTTGCCAATCTTTGTAAATAAGAAGCCTGAAAAGGCTGAACATGCTGAGTGCTGACAAAACACTAAAAGTACAAGTGCTGTCTGTTTGATTTGGGGAACCCTTTAGGTCAGTGGCCTATATTTAGTTAATGGCTTGGATGCAGTGGCGGAACTACCGCCGGTGCCTGAGGCTGTCGGGGGGCCCAGTGGGGTCCGGTCCTGGGCACCCCCACAGCCTCAGTGGGGTCCGGTCCTGCAATATGGGGCAGTGCACGGTGCCGGTGTTCGAACACCGGGGCCCCGCACTGCCAACGGGCTTCTCAGTGAGGGGGCGGGTCCTGTCACTCACCTCACCTCCCGGCCGCGTCCATAGTAACAGGCGGCGTGAGGGTAGGTGAGTCACAGGAGGTGTGTGTGTGTGTCACAAGCCCCGCCCCCTGCAGTGCACACATCGAAACTCCCGGGCTGAGGGGGGGATTGGGGGAGGTAGGTGTTGTGAACTGCTCTTTTTCATGTAACTAGACAAGTGGGTTATAATGGGGAATATTACACTGTAATGTTCCCTATTATAATCTATTTTTCTGATTAAATGATTACAGACAGGCCTCTGTTCTATCAAAGTTTGAGACTACGTTAGAATGTGTGACCAGTGACGTGATCACACATTTTAACGTAATCTCGCCCAGTTTTCGGGCATCGCAAATCGCATGTGCAGGAGAACCGATCTGTCCTGAAATGTCACTTCTATCCGACTTTGTGAGTGCGGTGGAATGTGAGATCGCAGTCGGAGAGAAGTGACATTTCAGGACCCATCAGCTGTTTCAGGGCAGATCGGTTCTCCAGCACATGCGATTTGCGATGCTGATCTGCCCTGGGAAAGCGCTGGAATGCTTCACCTATTGGTGGTCACACATTCCACCGCCGAAAAACTGGGCGGGATTACGTTAAAACGTGTGAGCACGTCACCGGTCACACATTCTAACGTAGTCACAACCTTTGATAGAACACCGCCATCAGGGGGGTATGGCCGGTACCCATGTGAGGGGTCTGGGGGGCCCTCTTACATGGGTATCATGGGGGTGGAGGAGGCTGGGCCCCAGCAGCAGCAGGTAAGAAGAGTTGGGAGGAGGTGTATAGGGAAAGGGATAAAGGGATCCCGACGACAAGACCAGCCCACCTGGGACCCTGCAGAGCCCACCATAGAGAGTCTCAGGTGGGCTATGCAGGATCTATGGTGTGCTCTGCAGGGTCTCAGGTAAGTCCAGCACGCTACTGCAACATTAGAGACCGCTTGGGAGGGGGGCCCAAGATAAAATCTTGCACTAGGGCCCTTTGGTTATTAGGCCCGCCACTGCTTGGATGAGCAGATGTCTTGTTTTGTTTTATTCTATGGACTATCTTGCTGTACAGAGCTCTCCTGCATTGAACTGTGTGTGTTTGCTGCTTTGCTGAATAAAAGTGTTGGACAAACCTTCTTTGACTGTTCCTGGGTGTCCTTGTCTTCTGCGAGGTTTACCGCTGCCAATCCAAGTTGGGCCTGCTCCCCTTACTCTCTCTCTCCTGCTCTGTCTCTATCTATCTATCTATCTCTCTATCTATCTAGTGTCCGTGTGAATAACTGTTCCACATATACTGTCCGGATCAGGAGATGTCAATCCCCACAGAACTGTTAGCACTGGTGTGAAGATAGATTACAAAAATATAGTTAAATTTTAATGTCTAATTCAGGCTCCAGTTTGGGGGATAATTAGGGGACTTGCTTTAGGATTTCGGTCCAGTTTTAGGGTCAGATGAAACATAGAATAAAGTATATCCAACTATTTTAGGCTTGGGAAGAGTAGAGAATGGTTAAACCCTCCTGCAAGTTTTTTTTTTTGCTGCCTGGAGACATTTCCCTGTACTTCCTGTCCTCACGACACAACAGGAAGCGTGGGAAATCCTAGAACACGTGTGTCCATTGGAAGATTTCCTCTTACCTCCAGTTCTAGTGATAAATGTAAAATTTTGGATTTCCCATCACTTCCTGTCTCGGTGACCCCAGGACAGATGCAGAGGGTACATCTCCCCAAAGGGAACAGAGATGGCGATTAAAACCTGACACAGTGCATCCAAAGCTAAAAGAAAAATGTTTGACTTTTGGATCTTGTGATAAAGCTAAACTCCGGGATAAGCAAATATTGACCTCGTACAAGAGCCCTGTGTATTCTTCTTGAATCTTGGTGAGCTTTGTGTATTTCTTCCAGATCTGTGCAGAAACTTGGAGCTTCCTGTAATAAAGACCGGTCACTGATGCTCTCTCTCCAGGTGCCGGGTGACTGGTCTGGTCTTTGCCCCCTCTGTAGTTTTCTGCAGGCGTGGACAGCAAGGCGGGGCTCTCGCAGAGGTCCTTGGTGCAATGAGGAATTGTGCGGTCTGAAGTCTATGCGATGACACCACATTTGAGGGGGATATTTGGCTTGGTCAGAGGGGGAACGGCAGGACTGGGCACAGAGCTGACGCACAGATTGATGCATACAAGTGATTACCTGCTACATACAGCGGTGGTGTCTTCAGGGACGGGCTCGGGAATTTCCGGCGCACTCCTGGAACACGTTAAGGCTTTGTGTGGGTTCAGGCCGAGGCGGCTGCCCTCGGAATCTGTGAACTGCACCGGCAATGTCTTTATCGTGGGGCTGGGCACCGGCGTGCCGTAACTCGGGGAGTGACACGGGGAGCTGAGCGGAGAGATGGAGGGTGGGATACCTGAGGAAGAGGAAAAGTCAGAGTATTTGTCATTCGGAATATGAAGCATCTGTTTCTAATCTCAAGGTGTTCATTTATTAATGTTTACATTCTTTCCATTTACTATTACTCTATACACCATATACAGAGGGGAATCCACTGGCTTACAGCTCATTAACTTCCATCAAAGAGCTGAGGGGCTGTGTGAAGTCTGGGCCCTTATCAGAAATCACATGCGCTGTGACTGTTTGATAGAGGAGAAGCTGTCAAAGATATTTAAAGAACTAAAAAAGTATTGATGGCTCCTTCCTTATCAAGCAGTTTCTCTTGGCAGGCCGACTTCAACCAAAGGCTCACATTTGTTTAATTTCAGATAAGGGCTTTGGTGTCACACAGCCCTCAGTCAGAAGTTAGCTGAACTGAACCTACTCCACTTAGGCCGAGTTCACACCTAGGCGTATCTAATATGCGCGTTTCGTGACGCGTGTTTTTTCCCACGATTCGCGGTAAACAAAACGTGCGACAAACGCGCGTTTCCGAGGGCTACTTGGCTGTATCCCAATGGAAACGCGCGACAAAAACGCCCCAAAGAAGCTCCTGTACTTCTTTGGGCGTGGGGCGTTTTGTAGCGCGTTCGTACGGCCTGTAATACGCCCAGGTGCCAACCATAGCCATAGGAAATAATGGGATTTCGGTGTTTGAGCGTTTTGCAGAGCATAGGAACGCGCTACAAAACGCCCAGGTGTGAACCGGCCTTACTGAGAAGGAATGCTCAGTGATTTATATCCCTCAGCTCCAGAAGAGCCAGGGCTGTTTGAAGTTCAGGTTCGGTTCTGAAAGTGACAGACTTTCTTTAAGGGGTGATCCCTTTATAGAACTGGTGGCAGCACCTCCTACAACGAATAGCCGTTCTGCACAACTGATAAGGGCTCAGATATTACACAGCCCTCAGTTCTCCTTTAGATGTAAATGGCATAAAAAAATAAAGCTGAAAGCGTTAAATGGAAGCTATCGACCTGTGTGAGAAGCCTCCATTGAATGATTACAGGTTGAATACTAGATCAAGCTTCACTTCCCTGGAACGGCCATGCAGCCCAAACACTTTCTGCTTCCGTTTTATGCTTTACATAGACAGGTTCTCTTTACAGATATCCTATGATTGAATGTTTTATATCAGGTGAGCACACAGTGAACCTCCACATACACATGCATGCCCCATTGCAGGCCGGAGCCTCTCACGTTGTTCCTCTCGTTGTTCCCGCTTCGCCCAAGCAGCCATTTCACAATGAAAACACAAAGTTACGCAATTCGTTCTATTTAAACCAAAACATATTTATTAATGGGAGATAAAATATTTCTGTCACAGATTCAGGATTTCAACACCGCTGATACAAAGAGACCTTTTCTGCTGTTGCTCAATGACAGTGGGAGAAATTTTTTTTTTTACTGCAAATAGAGAGAAAACCAAAACTAGCGCATTTGTTATCGCGTTATCGCGTCCGGCCACCTGCATGGTAGACACATCTAGATGTCGGTTGGAGGACGAGAAATATAAGTCGTGAAAAGTCGGCGTATATCATCTTGTTCTGATTTCATTATATAAAACACCCGCTCTGGATACAGAACTCCCGCTATGATCCTAAAATTGTGTGTTCACCATATCCGAGTATCAGCAATCCCCGGATTGTATGTGGTCAGAATTCTGTACCCGGAACATAAAGAGTTAATGGATTGCAGCACACAGCAAAGTCCTGGGACAGAGCTCTATCTGCTGGTGAACTACCAGACCCATCATGCCCTGCCAGACACCTGGAGAACTTGCTGCACCTTGTGGTGCCTCAGAAGGAAGATAAGAGCTCTGGTTAAGGAACTACAAATCTCAGCAGGTTGTTGTTTGTGTTTGGTGCAGGTTCTTCATGTTCATCCTCTGGGATAATGTGTGTCAGTGCTGATCGTGTCATCATTGATATATTATGGGAATGTGGTGTTATCAATACTGATATCAGGGTCGGGAGCGATCGGTTCATGATTGGGGTTTATGGGTTACTTCTTGGTTTACGGATGACAGACTATGTGGGATGAGGGTTTGGAGTGACAAGAAGAGATTTAGGGTGACAGCTAGAGGTTTAGTATGGCAGACAGAGGATTTGTCTCAGGGACAGGGATGACAAATATGGGTTTTAGGATGATAGATAGGGGTTTGGAAACATAGAGAGAGGTTTAGGATGACAGAGGGGGTTTGGGATAACAGATAGGGGCTTGGGATGACAGGTAGAGGTTTAGGATGACAAATAGGGGTTTGGGATAACAGATAAGGGGTATGGAAAGACAAAAAGAGGTTTGTAATGACAGATAGAGGTCTGGGATGACAAACAGTTAACGGATTACAGATTCAGAATGACAGATGTTTTGGATGGCAGATTGTGGTTTGCTATGGCAGACAGAGGTAAAGCATGATTTGAGTTTGGGATAACAGATAGGGGTTTACCATGACAAATGGGGGTTTAGGATGACAGATAGAAGTTTGGGATGGCAGACAGAGTTATAGAATGGCAAATAGGGGTTTAGGATGACAGATACGTGTATGGGATGGCAGATTGTGGTTTGCAATAGGGTTTGGGATGACACATAGGGGTATGTTGTAGTTTGGGGAAAATGGTTGACCTTCAGACGTTTGAGCCAAAACATGTCATGAACATTCACTCGCACACAATGTAGTGTTGCTGATTCTTCTGCACCATCAAGAACAACCCCAGTTTTCAGAAAACGAAAAGCAGTGCAAAGCATTCTGGGAACTGGCTCCGCACTGCGTCCAGGTGTTGTGGGATATATTCTGCTCATAAAGTAATTTATGGATTTGTATTATCAGCACTGCTGACCCTTGCAGCTTTTAGTTGTTCCCTGGTGAGGCTTACAGAAGAATGATTCCTTTGTAATAAACTTTTCATATCTTCATAATAAATTTTTGATTAAACATATAAGTGATCTAGCCCCCCCC